GGAGTAGCAATAAATCAAATTGGAGGCTTGTTGGAGAAGTGGGGTTGACCCTTAGGCCAAGGAGATGCTTTCTAAAATATGCTTGTTTCAACACAAGGAATGTAGAACATGTCACTTATTCCCAGAGACAATTGAATTTCATTAAGTATTGATCTACAGTCATGTTAGGTGCCATTTTTCAGTTGTAAAGAAGCCCTCAACCCCAAATGTCAAGACCACAGGTTCCAGCTGTCACCACCAAGGTGTTCCAATTGGGAGTGGTGGGGGGGGAGATCATGGCTGCTCCTTCCTATTGGAGCAAAGTCAGTGGAGAATGAAGCAAAGAAGCAAGGGCTTAAAAGGAATCTATTGGCTCCTCTGTCCCCCCAGATTCTGCTTTCAGCCAAAACAACCATAAAATACAGTAAGTAGCAGTGACAAGAAGCTCAGTGCCATTAATGAAGAGGGCCAGCAAGGACTTTCCTGAGTGCTCTCAAGCCATTCATTCTCTGCATGGAAGAAATGTAGCTGTAGTTCTTCACCCTCTTCCTATCTTTGAGGTCAAAATGGAGACTTTGACCTTTTGTGTTCTTTAATCAAGTATTTTCCCTTTGCCGTAGTTACACTGCACCATGAATCGCCACAGGCCATCTGATCCCTGCTGGTGTTGACTAAGTAGACTCCATCTATACATTTTATCTGCTATTGGATGTAAGAGTTACCATCAAATATTTATTTAAAAGAACCACTGCCTCAAGAACAACATACTGAATGTTTAGAGAAGTAGAAAGGAAGAGATAGTCAGCCCCCCAGATGTTTGTCATCTAAGGGAAGCTCAGGCACAAGTAGAAAATGAAGCTGTGCCAGAGAGTTTCAGGTTTTATGAAGAAATTGAATCAACAAAACTGCTTTGACGATGCCACTGGATTACTGTTCCTGTTGAAGTTAAGTGAAGCAGTGTTGTATTATCACGCCAGGAGATTACTTCCAGTTCTACACTTTAGTCCCATGGGCAAAGTCACTTAGATTTCTTGAGCCCCACTTTCCTAAGCTTGTAGTTGGATTTTTTTTTCATAGTTTTCACAAATGCCAATCTGAACCTCCCCATTTCTATCTAAAACACGCCACCATTCACAAAGGTTTGACCTAGGAAGGTAGTTTAAAATGATCATTCATCAGTCTCCATTTGTCTCTCCTTTCTTCCTCCCCCCCCACTTTTTTTTAAAGATTTATTTATTTGTGCTTACAGAACTGGGGTACAGGCCAGAGGCTCAGGGGCGGCAAGAGGCTTCACCAGAGACAGAGTGGGGAGCAGAACAGGCAGATCTACAAAGTACACTGCTGAGGGGAGCAGCGGGCGGGTCAGGAGAGGTCTGCCACACCATGTGGTCATCTCCAGGGCAGGCGGGGATCGAACTCATGGGGAAGTGGCTTCAGCCTCCTAGTGCTGTGCTTCAACCCGCTGCGCCACCAGGGAGGGCGCCACCAGGGAGGGCCCCCCTCCGGAGGGCCCCCCTTTTTTTCTCTCTCTCTCCCCAATTCCACACACACATGCTTGTCTCCATTTTTGGTATTACAAACCTGGCTAGAATCCCAGCACACCCAGTTCTTCTTGTTGGGGCTCATTAATACATTAAAACAAGCCCTACCATTTCAGTACTTTCCCAAATATGGTCCCTCTACCCCTTGCTGCATTTTCCTCATCATTATTTTGCTCAGCTCACCATTAATTCAAATGATAAGGCAAATAAAAAGGAAACTAAAGACTCATCTTTTTTCCCTGTCATTTACTGGAGTTTAAATAAACTGGTCAAGTGGCCCTCCTAAAAATTACCATGTATTTTAAAACCTGATTACCTGAAGATTCTTATCTTCTGACTCCATTCACGGGTAATAATATTTTTTAAAAATTCGAATGGTAATAGTCAGTAAAGAATAACAATAAGAAGCTGGTTTTATAGTTAAACTGGGGGTAGAGTTTCAGGAGTTCCCTGTGGAAAAAGGATCACTTTTCACTCAACACTTTCTTAGAATTTGTAGATCTTCCTGTGAATGAGTAAGTTTCATTACAAGAAAAAATTTTTAAAATATTGGGCACAATTCATTATGCATCTACATGTGTCAGGCCTTTTATATTCACTACCTCCTTTAAAGCCCAACAACCCTGACATGCATTTTTTTTTTAATTTCTCCGTTTTCTAGATGAAAAAAACAAAGGGTTCAAAGCAGATTTAAGGATATACATCTACTGGCCACACTGATATTTTATATGAATGAAATTATATACTAGACATATAAGTGCTATGAGAAAGTCAGTGACCATATACAGGTGAGTCTAGAGCACCCCATCAATCCAGGAGCCCAGGAGCACATTTATGAGGTCGATGCTTGCCAGGCCAGCCAGAGTGAGTCATGCTAAAATTTAGGCCCAGCTCCAGTCTTGTGATCCCCAGGTTTTCACTTGTTCATTCTGTAATTTCCATTTCTCAACACCTTGTTAAAAGATGTGACTGGAATTAGAGATTTTTGATGTGGGGGAGGTATTGGCAACAGATGGCAGGACCCTTATTCAGCAAAGCTGGTCCCACATCTGCTGCAGTCAACAAGATCAGTGGTGTGTTATTCGTGGTCCCCTGCCTTTTGTAGGCCTGCAAGGAAGACAAAGAATACTGTGAAATAGCCTCAAGTTTCCAGATGTAATTGTAGACTGGGTCAGTTAAGCCAGACTTCAGAATGGGAAATCAGAATTCTGATGGCTAAGAGTTTGAAAGCAACACAGTAAGAGTGAGTTCTTTGCAAGAGATCTCTTTTTCAATACCCAGCTAAGGTAAACAAATTTCAGAAGAATGACAGCAATTATTTCAGCCACAGGTACAGCAAATGTTTTTATTGTGTGTATTCTTTCAGATTATATTTTCATTTTGTTTAGTTTTCATATCTAGCTGAGGGGGGAAAAAAAGGTTAGGGAGAGTAGATAAGTGTATCTATACTATAAATAGTAGAGCTGATTTCCAGTGGAAGGTGTAATCATTGACATGCTAGCAGAAACACCAGCTGTTCATTTGGTGGTTTCCTCCCAATCCTGTTTTAAAATAATCCTCTCTGGGAAGCTCCTGCCTTATGAACAGACGGGTTCTTCTGGATATATATTTTCCCAAAAACTGTTTCTTCCACATTTACTGAGGCTTGACTATGTGCCAAATATTCTTCTAAGTGCCAGAGACAGAATCAAGAACAAACAGAATAAGCAAATAATCCATACTTATTGTTTCGTGAGTCGAGACAACCAGCAACAAAATAATTAAGTACATGGCATTGTTTGTTAGAAGATGATGAATACTGTGAGAAAAGTTCACTAGGGAGTGTTAGGGGGTAGGAGCTGCGAGTTACATAGAGTTCTTAGGATAAGTCTCCCAGAGAGGGTGACATTAAAAAAATACTTGAAGTAGGCCCTCCCTGGTGGCGCAGCGTGTTAAAGCACAGCACTGAGAATCTAAAGCCGCTTCCGCATGAGTTCAATTCCCGCCTGCCCTGGAGGTGACCACATGGTGTGGCAGACCTCTCCTGGCCCGCCCGCTGCTCCCCTCAGCAGTGTACTTCGTCGATCTGCCTGTTCTGCTCCCCACTCTGTCTCTGGTGAAGCCTCTCACCGCCCCTGAGCCTCTGGCCTGTACCCCAGTTCTGTATGCACAAATAAATAAATCTTTAAAAAAAAAAAATACTTGAAGTAAATGAAGGAGAAAATGACGTGGAAGTCTGCAGGACAATTGTTCCAAGCCGAAGGAACAGTAAGTGCAAAGTCCCTGAGGTGACAGTGTGCTAAGCATCAGGGAGCATGACACAGAGGCCACATATTTGGAGTAGATGGAGCAAGCTGAACTATACTAGATTTGAAAAACTCAGAAAAGGGGCCCTCCCTGGTGGCACAGCAGGTTGGAGCTCTGCACTGAAAAGGTAAGCCAAGCTGTGGCCACTTCAGTGCGAGTTCAATCCCTGACCCCAGCCCGCTGCTCCCCTCAGGGGTGCACTTTGTTCTGCCTGTTCTGCCCCCCAACTCTGTCTCTGATGAATCCTCTCGCTGCCCCTGCACCTCTGACTGTACCCCACTTCTGTATGCATAAATAAATAAAATCTTTAAAAAAAAAGAAAAACTCAGAAAAGTAGCAGGAGCTAGATCTTGTTAGTCAGACCCTGTTACAACTTTGACTTTACTCTGGGGGACATGCAGAGCCACTCAGAGCTTTTGAACAGAGGAGTGCTTATGAGTTGGTTTTGATTTCTTATAGAAAGAAAATTAATTGTAGGACATGTTTCCAGAATAACCCAGCAAAATATGTTCACCTCTACCCCACATTACCATTGAATTACAGCACCAGTCTACTCTGGAAACTGAACTAAGATTACTGGCCTTACCAGGAGGTAGAATCTGATTCATAGCTCAGCTGGATGAGTTTGAGCATGTCAGTTAACCTCTCTAGTCTTACTTTCCTCATAGGAGAAGGAAGAACAAATAACATCTGCCCTGTGGCTTTACTTTGGGGATCAATTGAAAAAACAACAAAGTAGAAGCTCTCTGTGGATTATAAAACACTGGAGAACTATAAGAAGGTGGTGAGAACAGCAGCAGTTGTGGTGATGTTGCTATTTCAAGAAAAGTTAAGCCCAGGACCAAAGTCAAAATGCCAGGGATGAAAAACCTTCCCTTTCTCAATCTTTCTGACTAAATGGCCATGGATAGGATTCCTCCTTCTCTTGAGAACTGAAAGGGAAAAGCAAGGGCTTAGCTGGCCCTGAGGGAACGCACTAGTGAGGACCCCAGTGGGATCTGGTAGAACCCACAGGGGGTAGAGAGGTGGGGTCTCCACTGGTGGGTCTGTTCCCGGGGAGTGCCCTAGGAAGGAAGCACGTCTTCCCCTCTGGTAGGCCCTGTGAGCCTCCTGAGTTCTGGCCACAGGGTCTGAGACTGTCGTCACAGTGGCAACTTCCCCACCTAACCAGAGCCCTTTTCTTCTTCCCGCCAGGCATTCCACCTACGGAAGGCTTTTGGATGATCACGACTACGGGTCCTGGGGAAACTACAACAACCCTCTGTATGATGACTCCTAACAAAGGAACGTGGCCTGCGATGAGGAATTACTCTTCTTTATTTATAAGTGCTTATCCAGTAGAATTAATTACAAGTACCTGATGCCCACTGAGCGACAATCTTAAGCCCTGTTTTGTTGGTATGACTGTCCTGTTTTCCTCCCTCTCCTCTGGCTGCTACAACTTCCCCCTTTCTGGTACAAACAGAATCATTATTTCAAGGTATGCGAAGTCTGATTTGCAGATAAAATGGGCCAACCTTGGGCAGGCCAGACCAGACCACATGCTGGAGGCTTCTGTTCCCACCATCCAACCCACGTCGAGGACTGAGGAAGAGGGACTGAGTTGTTTGGTCAGGGGTTACTTTTAGGGGAACTTTTTGTTTGTGGCATTTCTTAAACTTTTATTTAGGAAATTATATTAACTATCAATGAGGTGAAAGGAAGTGCAGACGGGGAAGATTTTGCCTTGTGTGTGTGTGTCCTCGCGCGTGTGCGCATGCTGAAGCAGTTTCTCAGATTCCTTTTTATCCTTGTTTATCTGGTTGTCTGACAGGACAGCTCTAGGCTCAACTAGCTGCATACCAACTCCTGAGCTGCCTAATTAATGAAAGAGGAAACTAGAAGGTGCCCTGAGGAGGTCAACAGGCTGAAGAGCTACATCTCCCACCTATTCCCCCTCTAGATCACTGGTATTTGCTAAAGATGCCCAGCCTGGCACAGCAGGTGTGTTCCTGTCCACAAGCTTGCAGGGGCACTGCCAGGATAAGAGGTGAAGACAGGGAGAGGCATGTGGCTTGAGCATCCGGTGGGGGAGTGTGGGATGGTGGAAGGTTAGGGGGAGCTCAGGAGCACTGAGCACCTGTCAGGGAAAGTGAAAATCAGCCCTCAATAATAGCCAGAGAATCCACAGACTCCTTGTGTATACCCATAAATCTGGTTTGCTGCCTCTTGCCTGTTGGTTAATGGCTGGAAACTGTTTTTAAAAGAAAAATGTAAAGGCACTCATCTGTCGGCAGTTGTTCTGAGGCATTTCCACAAGAAACAGACACCACAATTAATCCACTGATTTTTCTTACATGTTCCCCTTACTAATTCTGCCCGTCAGTAAATGTCTCTCCTGGATAAGTGAAGCTTTGCAATGATGAGTTTAGAGAAAGAATTGGTCATCTTCACTGACAGGTTTATGATAGTAGTCTTTAGACAACACGTGGTTTTTACCCCCAAGGACATTGGGAAGTGTCTGGTGACATTGTTACAGTTTGGGGGTATCACAGCCAGGAGGGCAGAGGTTAGTGCACCACACCATGAATTCTCTGGCCCAACATCATACTGAACTTGAGAAACCCTGATTTATTGCAGTTTCCACTCCGATGGAACATGATATTCACAGACTAGCAACAGTTTTCATTTTTAATCAAATTATTTGTTAAATATTTATTTCAAAATATTGACTGATGGGTTGGTCAGGGCATGATTGAATTCTTTTTGTATGTATGTTTTTCATGGCTATAGCTCTGTCTTACAATGACTGCTATTAGCAACCGGCATCAATGTGATAATTTCATGGAGTAAAAATTTAATGCTGGGTGTCTTGCTTCAGAATGTACCACATGGTCCTACAATGTCATGAAGAACTTGAAACTGGATCATTTTATATTTCTAAACTTGGACATGCTGCCATGACTCTATTTAGTTTACATAAACTTGACTCTCAGCTCATCCCATCCCCTCTGTGGCCCAGCAAAACAGAGACACTGACATGGTCTAGTCCTCTCTGGGTCAGAGGCCCTAGGGTTCATGCCATTTCCACACTGTGTCAGCCAACAATCTGAAAGAAATCATTCCAAAACTCCTTAACTCCCAAAGGAGAGTAAGCAATCACCAGAAATATACTACAACAGGAATGGGTCAAATCAGGAATTTTGATAATTAGAAATCAAGGAAAGTGGACATGTCTAGAAAACAGGCCAGAAATAACATCTGGCCATGTGTGGCTTAAATAATTTCTCCTCTTTCCAACTATCCTCCCCTTCCTAGGTTTCCAGTTTAGCACAGGACTAGTCAATAAAAACAGATCATTCCATTCCATGTATTTTTTTCTCCCTCAACTGAAAAACATTTTGAAAAGCCATCCACCTCACCTTTGGAGAGGTGCACTTCTGGATGTTGTTTTAGTCATGGGTCGGAGAACTAGCCACTTCCCAGGGAACTCTGGTTGATTGTAAGCCTCAGAGTCAGCAAACAAAATGGGTTTGTTGCTAATAATTATTTTCAAATCCTGTGACAAACAGAAGGCTCTGGACTTAATGTAGACTTATTCAGCAAGTTGACAGCTTTTGTAACTATTCAAGCACTCTTCGATATGTTAATATAAATACCTGTGGGTTGAACCTCATTTTACTCAATGCATTTTTTTTTTCTGAGTTGGCCAAAGGATTTTAGCAACTGAATTCAATCAACAAACGCATGCACACATTTTGAAATGTACGGTGGTCATGGACGTCCTTTACCTCAGGGAAGTCTGTTCAGGTCTACCCAAGGGAAAGACTCCAGTAGATCTAAACAACATGTACCATCCAGGGACAGGACTTGCCATAAGAGAGACAATGTCAGAGCTGGAGGAGACAAGCAGCCTCTTCCGGAGCATAGATCCTAAATGGTGAGTGTGGGATTCAACTTTGTGCCCCATAGCAGCAGTGAAGTCTCCTGCCCTCCCTGGACGTCTGTGTCTTTGTTTCTTAAATGGAGGTGACACTTTCATATGGTCCTCACCCCACGCTACCTCACAAGTATGTTGTGAGGATTAATGAAATCATGTCTACAGTGTTTTCAGTTTCTGGAGAAAAATATTTATAGACATTTTAAGTATTTTAAGTATTAGTTAGATATATAAGTGATCTCAGTTTCCTGTTGGTTGTTAGACTGGTGTGTAGTTTTTACTTAAATCTATAGAATAGCAGGTGTGTTATAGCCACATCACAGCTGTTACACCCCAGACCACCCCACCAGTGCAGTGACTGGCTACAGGGTTAACCATGCCTGGGACCACAAAGGACAGTTTCCATCCCCAAATGAAAGGATGGTCCTGGACAAGTCTCACTGATAATTAGGTAGGAGCAAGGAGTTTAGGGTAACACAGTGTGGATACCCAAGCCCTGACAGCAGTAGACCTCTGGCCTTTACTGAAGGCTGAAGGACCTGAAGTCTGAGGGACCCTTTGTGGAATTGATTTGGGTTTGATGTCATCTGTTTGTTCTTTCTATTGATTACAAGCGTGCATGGTTCAACCCCTCGCATCTGGGAAATGAATCTTGCAACTGGGCCAGATGCTAATTTGCACGTTGATTCACCTTCTTTGCCTTTAACCTCTTTTTGGCAAATGAATGTACCACTTCAACTTTGATTTTAAAGTGCTAGTTGATACTGGTGATAGTGCTAACCAAGATTGCTTTCTTGGGGTGAGTTAGCCAACATCATTTAAATATAGAAAGATGTGCAACTTCTTTGAAATTTAATGTCATTGTACCTACATTTGTTGTATGACATATTGCATACCGATTATAATTATATCAATTAAAGTTGTTAAAAAGCTTGCATCTAACAGCGGTGATTCACTTTTATATAGGTATATGTTTTTATTTCAGTCAATAGGTTGATACCTCGATATTATTCTTATTAGTAGCTGTTGGCTTATTCTTAATGAATACTTATCCTGCATCAATAGACATTTTCTACAGAGCAGGAAGATCTTGCTGATACTAAAACAGAATTGAAGGAGGTCCAAAATAAAGAAATCTTCCCCACAGTGATTTTGATTATAACTATATGCCACTTCTTCTAAAATATATGTGAAAATAAATAATAACTTTGACCCATAAATAGGTTGTAATACATAATCGAGGCACTAAAATATATTGCAGTTCACAGCACATTTGTTACTTGCTTCCTTTTCCTTCACAATATAAAATTAAGTACTCCTCCTTTTTCCAGTAAGTGAAATAGCAAGCAGTTTCAACCATCTAGAAAATAATTTCAACCACCAGAATCTTTCCAAAGATTATTCTGATTCTGAATAAAAGAACACCAACATGCATTTTGCACCCTGAGAGCAATAAAACCACCTGCAAACTAATCTCATTGGTTTGATAGCGGATACAAACATAAAATCAGATTGAATAAGTTTTGGTACCTGGACTTCAGTGGCACAGCATGAAAACTGACGGGGCAGAGTCAAATGGGAAATGAAACAGGTCCAAGCATGAACCATCGTCCTTTCCTGCTGGTTTTTCATTCATTTCTTGAAGGCCTAACATGAGAACAAAGCAGGCAAATACTATTATTCCAAGTCAGCCTGAGCAGGATTGCTCAGAATGTACTTTAAATATGCATTAAAAGACTTTGTCCTTAATGTGTTGTATTTACATATTATGAATTCTTGGGTGTTTACTGGTATTTCTCCTGTGTTATATTTTTTCCAAGTCAGGTCATAATCTGTTCTAACTACTAGCAACCTATCTGCAATCTTCTATTCTCATAAATTTTAATAGTACTCTCCATTAATAGCTAGCTCTATTTTGATTTTTGTCAGAGAGCATTGAGTCATAAATGCAAAGCACTCATCAAATTGGGAAAACCCCTGCAGGAGGTATGATCTCTGAAAGGATCTAATTGTTGGTAAAGGTAGAGTGAGCTAAATTATTGCATTAAAACAGCATTAATTAGTTTGCATCAACAAATGTGCTACTAAGCAAAATTCTGAGCTGAATATTCACTATCAAAAAGGAGTGCAATATTAGGGACTATAGGTGCCTTCTGGCAATTATACTCTCCCCATATTATACATTGGAAAAAGGAGCTCCAGGATATTAAATCATACATGTCCTTCTGTGTACTCCATAATAAAGATGTTGACTGCTGCTTTCCAAGTTTGTACAATTTAGTAAGTAGTGTAGGTGGGATTCAAGCCAGGTCTATTTGTCACCAGAACACGTGGTCTTTTTTCACTCAAAGGACTGGTGTCTGACGTAAACATCACCCAGCTTTTGAGACTCTTACACTCTCTACTAATGTAGGACCCTCCATCCTTGGAAAGTCCTCTCAGCTACTTTGGGCCATCTCAAGGGTGTCTGGCAGGCAGCCAGAGCAAAGCCCAGTCAGCTCCCAAGCTGTCCCCTCCAGGCATTGCTAACTTTCTGCTGGCTCCTGTTGCCCTGCTGGGCTCTGTTCCCTGCCAGGAGGAGGCTGCCTCCCCACTCCCTGCTCGGTTAGAGGACTAACAGAACAGAGCCCCACTAGCTCCCAGAATTTTAATGAAAACCTCCCTCTTAGTTTCCACTGACAGCCTCTCTGCTCTCTATAGGAGTCATCAGAGAGTGCAGCAGCCTGGGAGAGGATGTTGCCCTTGGAATCACGTCCCCAAGTTATCAAAATCTCCATCATGGCACTTGTTTTTTTGTGGTGATATACAATAATGGTAGCTTCTCATATGACACTTACTATGAAACAGATAATGTTCTAAGCACTTTACATGGATTAACATACCTATGAGGTAGATATTAGTAGTTTCCCCATCGTTCAGCTGAGGAAACTCAAGAGTCAAGAGGGGCAAAACCTTCCAAGTCATACAGCTAGGAAGTAGTGGGGCAAAATTGAAATAGTGATGGTTGGCCATCAGAGTTCATGTTTCTGACCAATCACGCAGGCCTCATTCCATGCCAGCCCAATCTTGGACAACCTAAAGCCCAGACTGGACACCCATCATGAAACAAAGATTTCTGAGACCTCACAGGCGCCTGACTCTGCAGCATCTTCAGCTAAAGGGTGGCATTGACTGCCAGGATTATCCACTCAGCAGCCACTGACTCAACAGCAGAGGCCTCCAGGCTGACCTCCCGGTCACCAGGCCCACACAGCAGCTGTGCTGAGACAGTGGAGAGCACTGTCCTGTCCTCACCTCCTTTGTCTCCTGGCACTTGGACAGAAGTCCCATCACAAATGCTGCTGGGCAGCGTGTCGAAAAGTGTAAGTCATACAGAAGCCAGGTTTGGTCAGGGATGCAAGACACAAATGCCCACCCAGCCTCATGCTAGCACATCTGACCTGCAAGAGGGAATTTAGGAAAGTCAACACATGTCTGTGCAGTCCTGGGATATAGATTAAAACCTGAAGGGTTAGGTTTATTGAAATATTAAGGGTTAGGGTTTTGTGTAGATATTAGAATTTAACACAAACTGAAAGGGCAGGACGAGAAAAGGCAGGGAGCGAGGAGCAGGTGACTGCTGAAATTCTTGGGGCTTCAGGAAACTGCTATGTCTCAGGTGGCGGTGGTGGGGCGGGGGTTCCTGGGCTCCCTGGGAAGCTGACACCTGACAGCAAAGGTCACTGGAGAAGAGCTTTGCCCCCTTGGCTATCTCCGCATCTCTTGTGACCCTCATGTGGACTGCTTTTGCCAGCGCTGTGTAGCCAAAGGGATCATAACAAATGTAGTTCTGGGCTCCTCTTCTGAATTTCAGAGGGGATCTTAGGGAAGGACAGTCACAATGCAGCACTGAAAATAAACAGCACAGTCTACCCCTCCTGGCCTGGATTAGAACTTCCCAGAAAGGACAACATCAACATGTCACCCCTAACGTGATACTACCATAACTACCCCTTCCTTACCTAAAGGTGCACTCACGTGCGTCCTAAAACAAGCCTCTGTAGGTCACTTTCTCGCTGAAATATTCACTGCTCTCCTAGTTTGGATGTAGTCTCTCTTCAATAATATATGACCTGGGGCCCTCCCTGGTGGTGCAGTGGGTTAAAGCACAGCACTAAGAAGCTAAAGCCACTTCAGCACAAGTTCAATCCCCACCCTGGAGGTCACCCACATGGTGCAGCAGACCTCTCCTAACCTGCCTGCTGCTCTCCTCAGCCGTGTACTTCATCAGTCGTCCTGTTCTGCTCCCCACTCTGCCTCTGGTGAATCCTCTCACTGCCCCTGCACCTCTGACCTGAATCCCAGTTCTGTATGTATAAATAAATCTTTAAAAATATATGAACTCAATGGCAAATGATAGGGTTAACCACATTATATTGGATAGCATGTTGGTGGGAAGAAAGAATTGATTATGTACACAGTTTGATATATGCATATGATATGTGCATTTCCAAGCAAGGAAGAGATTAAGCATAGTTACAGGCTTCCTTTCTGCAACTAGTCCCGTGACCATGTTGGTATTTATAACTTTCTTTTTCCACATGCTATCTCATGCTCCTTTCGTCCTCAGCCAACATCTCACTAGGCATCAGACTTTACATGGCAGGTGACTCAAAAGTCATGTCAAAATGTGATGCCAAGAGTGACTGAAGTGGGTACTGTTTCTACCATTAAAAAATTTTAAGAACAGAGAGAGAATGGCTCACACTGTATGTAATGTGCCTAACACTGCCCTCTGCTAAACTGCTTTTTGTTCTCTTCTTTCTCCTCCCTCTAGTTCTCTAGTCAACCTCATGCACCTCCATCAACAAAAACATAAGTGGGGGCTTGGGGACAATAGAGAAGGGGTTCACACTATTCTCAGACCCTAGCTTGCTGCACTCAAGCCCTGGGTCATTCCAAACACTCACCCACCCACCAACCCATCTCAGCTGCCTACTCTCTGCCTCGAGGTTTCTGGGAAGAAGTGTTTTCTCCAGAAAGCTGAAATTTGAAAAAAGACCATCTCTGAAGAATTGGAGGAAATAAAGAAAAGTAGGGTTTCCTTTCATTCATTTACTTTCAATATGACCATTCCACAGACCATTCCTCCTT